CCCGTGTCCCGGTGTCCCGGTGTCCCGGTCCGTGTCCCGGTGCCGGCCCGTGTCCCGGTGTGTCCCGGTGTCCCGGCCCGTGTCCCCGCTGTGTCCCGGTGTCCCGGTGCCGGCCCGTGTCCCGGTGCCGCGCACGGGTGTTGTAGCATCACCCGCTTCCTGGTGCGGGTAGAAATGTGCTCAAGCCTCTCCTTCTGTAGAGCAGATGCTTGCTGGTGCTTGTCGGCAGCACAGAAGGATCAAGGCAGCTATCGAGCCTTCCTATTGCTCATCTAGTTTACATACAGTATCAGTCCTTCAAACGTGACAACCCGAGAACTGGAAGATCAGTGTAAGTGTTTGAAAAGACCCTTCCAGGCACTGGCAGCCTGCGAGTTGAAGTTCTTTGCTGTGCAGCCCCCTGACACTGCTGCAGACACAGGCAGCTGCACACACAGGCTCCTCATCCCGAGTGAGAAGCTGGATTTGCAGGGTGCTGTTCACTGCCGTTGATTTCAGCAGGTTTTGAGGGAGCTCAGCGTCTGTTCAGGATGTTATGAGGGAACTGTGAAGCATAAGATGCTCCTCTCAGCAGGTGGCTGGGCTGAGGAGTCTGTGCCGTCGGGGCTCAATTGCTGCTGAACTCCTGCAGCCTGACAGGGGAAGTGTTGTGCCAAACAATTGCTGGAGAGCTGGGGATGTGGCACTTCACCATTTTTTATCATCTCGGGCAATTCACACTATTGTTGCAGTAAAAAATACCGTGTAATGGCCATGAACCCCTGAGGAAAACAAAGCGGGCTTTGGAAAAAGCGGATTGTAAGCAGCATGTGGGAAGGAAATGATCCTGGTTTGGGGCCGTATTTTGGCTGATGCTGAAATCCAGGGCTAACAGAGGTTGCCTAGCTGGGTAGTGAGGAGGAAGGCTGCTCACATCCCTGGGAAAGCCGATCCTGACATTGCTGCTGGGTGACCTGACACGGGGCCAAACTGAGGAGCGGTGTGCTTGGGTGCTGACCCAAGTTGCTGAAGTTTGCAGGGCACCCTAAATAACAGATGTCTAACAATCTGTGGTAGAGGTGATGCAGACATAATTTGCTTGTCTAGAGCTAGCCCAGGTATGTCTGTACCACAAGGGCTTGGGTAGCTTGACAGACTTGCTTCCTTAGTGTGTCAGCCCTGCCTGGTTTCTCATGTGTGCTCACCGGTTATTTTGGACTCATGGTTGAAGCTTGAAGAGTAATGAAGCTTTTGTTTGGTTTTAGGTTACTGCCTGGTATCTGGAAAGCTGTTAGTGTTTAAAGAAAGGCAGGAGCTTGCAATTTCATTACATGCTTTGATTCCAGGACCTGGAGGAGCTTAAGGGAGAAAACGCCAAGCAGCACAGCCCTGCCAGGTGTGGCTGCTGAGGGGCTGGTGCCTGCCTGGTGAGGAGGCCCCCCAGCCCTGTGCAAGGTTATCACTGTGCTGTTCTCTTCCTTGCAGCCCTGAGAGGCAGCAGCCAGCTGCGGGTCCCGGCGCGATGGAGGGGGCAGGCGACGGCAGCTGCGGTGACAGAGAGCACAAGGCCTCGGACCCAGCCCGCGGCGCGGTGAGGGCCCCTGGGCCGGGCGGGTGTGCCCTGCCCGCCCTGCCCTCTGTCTCTCTCTGATATGCTGGGTTTGCACAGCAGAGCTGGTGGTGGCAGTAAAACGTGGCGGTCACGGGGCTCGATTGAGGTTTTTGGTGCATGTGTGATTGGTTTTATCTGGCTGGCTGCATTCGCCCAGCCTCTTCTTCTCAGAATCCTGGGGGGCAGTGGCCCGTGGTAAGGCCTGAGGCAGTGCAGAGGCAGTGGAAGAACAAACAGTAGGATATTATTTGGGGTTTGGTTCCTGCCTCCTGGATTTTATTCAGCAACCTGCTGATAGAGTCTCCAGGAGGAAAGGAATGGAAGCTGAGGTCCTGACCCAATCAGGGTAGGCCTGTGGTTCTCTCTGTGCCCCTTTGTCAGACTGGGTTTAACAAGAGGAGGGCCAAGCTCCCTGTGCAGCCTCAGCTCTGTCTGCTCAGGAGAGGAGAGCTCCTGGTCACTGGGCTTCCTTGGGCAGGGGAAACAATTTGGTGGGGAAATTGACCTCTTGGGTGGGAGCTGTGATGAGCAGCAACTTCTGTAAAAGCTGATATCACCACCTGCTCTGCTTCATTCTGCTAGGAGGGTCATTATCCTTATAACTGTGTGCTGGACATGTACCTGCATAGAAAACTCATTGTGGGGGAAAAAAATAACAACCCCAACAAAACCAATCGTTCCTTAGACCCTGCTTTATAACCTCCCCTGCAGCCCTCAGCTGTGAGCTAGTTTTCTCAGTCTACTTTCAGTTAAACTCTGTGTTTTGAAGTTATTATTTATTTTTTGTTTCAAGTAGAGGTCATGTAAATACTTGTCCCCTAGCTATTCATGCTTCTAGTTAATACTTTTACGTAAGTGGGTTGAGCTTCCAAATAGGACTGTTTTTGCAAAAGACAAATACAGAAGAATGATTGTTTGTTGGTGATAATAATAGCAACTGTTGGTCACTAGGAATTGAAATATCTCTTGCTTCCATAGGAAACCCAAAACAGGAATCTTGATGTTAAACATGGGAGGCCCAGAAAGGCTGGATGATGTGCACGATTTCTTACTTCGTCTCTTCCTGGACAGAGATCTGATGACAATGCCAGCTCAAAAGTGAGGAACACTCTGAATTCCTGTGGTACAGTCAGTGTTGGGTGTTACTTGGACATTTAACATCTGTGTATACCAGCATTCCTTAGGACTGCTTCGTCTTGGGACCTGCCAGTGCCAGAAATGGTGGTGCAGTTAATGGTGAATGGTGTCAGTAGGTGTGCCAAGACACTTCACTTCCAATTGCAAATGCTCTTTCCCATCACCCGATATGTTGGGGAAGGTGATGGGATATAATGGTAAACAAACCATGCAATGCTGGTTTGCCATAATTTGGGAAGCCTGCCATGGAAAACCCACTGCAACAGAGGGATTTGGGGAAAGGGATGGTGCCTTTGGTTATGATGTTAATGCCTGTACCTTTTGAATGCATCAGTAAATTAGCACCGTTCATTGCCAAGCGCCGCACACCGAAAATCCAGGAGCAGTACAGCAGGATTGGAGGAGGATCACCCATCAAGAAGTGGACAGCAGTGCAGGGAGAAGGCATGGTGAAGCTGCTGGACAGCATGTCCCCTCACACAGGTATGTCTCTACCCTACTGTGCTTGTTAAAAGTTTCTGGTGCTTCGTGTGTTGAAAGCATGGGCTTATAAAGCAGCCTTTGCTTCTCCATCTTTACTGTGAGCATGAATGGTGTTCTCAGTCCTGCTAGGAAATCATGGCAAAGGTGTTGCAGCAGCTCTTATTCCTTAAAAACTTGGCATATGCAGAAGGTGCAGGGGTTCCTGCACATGCAAATGATTTTTTGTGCTGTGGGCACTTCTATGGCTACATTAGAGAATGGCTCTGATTTTAGAGTGTGCTGTTGGTGCTCACTCAGCCTGCAGCCACACACTGCAGCACCAAAAGCCAACAACCAAATGTTTCCCCACCTTGGGCTGGATCTCATATGTGCTGTGAGCTGCCACCTGTTGCTGTACCCAAGGTGACTTGCTTAAAAGCTGCTCTGGGTAAGTCCACCCCTTGGAGCTTTTGGCATGTTTCATCTTGTATGGCTTCAGCCATCAGGAAATTTGGGCATCTGGCCTAAACTGGTGGTCTCAGCTCCCTCTTTCATCAAGGGAGAGTAGTGCTTGAAGAGAAAGTGATGCAGAAGGTTGTTACCAGGTTCATGCCCTAAAGATACACTTGCCTCTCATTTGAATATGGGAAGAAATTTAGATGGCTATGGTAGAGAAAGTGTCTTACTTTCAGATGTTCCTCTGAAATGTCCCTCTGCAGTTATTGCTTGGATGTATCCAGAGCTTTTGAAACTTTGCCTGAGTCTGTAACTGTTAATGATGGATAAAAGAACTAACACCAATTAGGCTTGATTTCAGAATCAGAGTCATAGAATCAAAGAATCATCAAGGTTGGAAAGGAGCTTCAAGATTATCAAGTCCAACCATCCACCCCACAACCCCTGACCACTAAACTATTTTTATGGAACACAATGTCTACCAGAACTCAAAGAGGAGGTTCTTAGCTGAACATGGCATGGCTTGGTTGAGCAGTGAGCCCCACCCAAGGCCATGAGCAGGAGATAAGGCCTAACAGTTTGCCTTGGGTGGAAGCAGGTACTGTCTTTGCCAGTTCTTCCCTGATGATAAGAAAACTTGAAAGGTGAATACAGCCTCCCCCCCTCTCTCTGGATCACAGAGTCTCCCTGAACCTTGCTCCCTTGCAGCATGGAGCAGTGACTTGTCTGGGTTGCCCTGTGCCAAGGGACCTGGTAGCACTAGTGTGATGGGCTGTGAGTGCAGACACTTGTGTGAATGTCCTCCTGGGGGCTTCAGCCAGCAGGTTCACTGCAGTTGCAGAGGGCTCAGTGTGCACACAGACACCTGTGGGCATGCACATAACCTTCCTTTGCTGGGATTCAGCCATCTCAGGCTCTCCTAAAACCTCCAACCAATCTGAGACCTGAGTAAATTTTCACCCAAATGAAGTGCATTTATGGTGGCATTTGCACCAGTTTAGCTAAACTGCTTTCAAATTGGTAGTTAGCTGAATTTTACTTCAGCTTTTATTGGTCAGTTAGCAGCTATGGTGAGCTAGAAGCCTTTGTGCCTCTTCTGCCACTTGCTAAAGGTGATAGATCATTTGCTTACAGTACCTTTTATGTTGCACTTTTCTGCTGTGTGATATTAAAACCATGGCATTGATAAACATGAGTGGCAGCACTAGAAGAGTGATGGCCTTGAGTGTCTTGCCTCTCGTGGGGCAGGCAGAAGAAGGCAGTGAATCACCACTGCTTTGACAAAAGCTGGGAGCAGCAGTACCTGGTGGTTGGTTGGGCTGAAGTGACCTGTCTGGGGGTCACCTGTGCTCTGAGAAGGTACTTTTCTTCATTATGCTTTTTGTTCTTGAAGCAGCAGCCTGCCTTTGTGAGGAGAAGCAGTGAAGGAGATCACTGAGCTGCCCACTGAATTCCTCACTGATGTGTTAGCTGCAGATAATGCTTGTCATCCTGCTGCTACAATAGGAGCACTGAACATTTTTAATAGAAAAACTGCTGGAGTAAGAGCAGCCAGAGAGGAGAGCTCTCCATTCTCATCAGCTCAGCAGCTTCACAATGCGTGGTGCTGCACGCTGCCTTCTCCCTTCAGTTTCTGTGACCTTGGCTGCTGGGATGCTGGTGTCAGGGAATCCCCCTCCAGGCTTGACAATACATCTTATTTGATTCCTGCCTATTTTCTAGTTCTTTGTGGCACCTGCTTCAGACTTGGGTAGAAAGGGACTAGAGGCAGAAAAGGACCAGAGGCAGAAGACTGGTAAGAGGGTCTTGAAGGTGAAAAGCGATGCTCTTGGAACGCTGAAACCGAATTTATTTCATTTGTTCACTTTGTAACATGTAACTGGTGCCTTTGAGTGATGTTCAGTCCTTTTTTCCACAGATGCTGCTCTCTAGCTCAATTCCAGCTGTGGTCTCTGCAGGTACAGTCAGCTGCAGTCTGCTCTGGTGCCCCAGGCAGCAGTGGTTCTTACAGCAGTGGGTTCTGAAGATAAAGCTTAGGAAGTTTATCAGCTTTTCTCAGGGTACCACTCCCACTTGCTTTTGTTTGAGGACCTGTTTATGAGGGCAGTGCGGTCCTTACACCTGATAAGTCCTTCTGAGACCTCCTTTTGTACCTAGCAGTAGCTGCAGTTTTAAAAATGGAACATGCTGACCATTGCTGAGCATGGGGCTGCCTGCCAGCCGTTTCCTTGTGCCCTGCTGCTTCAGGGTGGCTTCAGGAAGCTGAATGTGCTTCCAGAGGGAGCAGAGCCCTCACAGGGAGCCCTGGCAATGTGTAGCTCAGAGGTTGTGGTGTAAGACTTGAAACACGTGGCAAAGCAGAGATACAAACTCGTTTCACCTTGATGTGGCCTTTTGAGGTGTTGAGTTTGTAGCTGCTGTGCATTTGCAGTTGGTGAAGAGTTCATGTTAGTACCAGTAACCACCTGTGAAATTCCCTCCTGTGTGAGTGAATCAATCTACTGACTTGCTGAGTTGTACTAGACATTTGACATGTTATTCTTTGGCAATGGAACTAATATAAAGTAGTAAATAAACAACCTCACCCATGTCATCTGGGAACAATATAATTTTAAAATGAAGCCTTCTTGTTACAGGCAGCTGTCTGAAAATGAACAAGCAGAAGGAGTGGGTTGGGTAGGCTCAGCAGTCTGTCAGAATAAATCACACAAACACGATGATAGGGAAATCCATTTCTGTTCTTGTGGGTTGTTTTTTTTTAGGGCTGGCATAAAGTAGGCTAACATCTTGCAATGGTAATTATATTTTGAGAAGGCGCATCTTGCTTTTGAAATGGTTTTAGTTATAATGGTTCTTAGTATTTCTTACCAGCTGTATTTTAGGTGAGATTCCCTTGTCAGCAGAACAAAAGCTCACAAGATGTGGGGTCCATGTTGTTTCTTTAGGTTGGTAGCTCTTTGTGGGAGGAGATGTTGCTCTGCTTCCAGTAGTTCTGACTTTGACTGTTACAACAAATTTTTATATGTACAGACATGAAAATCTCTCCTTTGCTGCCTGTGCTCCAGGACAAAGCATAATACTGCAAGAGTGTTGCAAGAAGTGTCCAAGTTAGCCAGGTGTCCAAGTTTCTCCCAGTGTGTCCTTACCCAGGTTAAACTCCTACTGTCTTTGCTCTGGTTAGTCAGACTTCTGTTTTTAATGCCATTTAAAATGTTGATGAGGCTACTGGCTCCTGGGGCTCCTGAAGTTGGGTCGTTATTTGCTCCTGCTCCCATCTGGAAGCTCTCTTGCCTCCTGCAGAGAACTGAGGCTGACTAAACCTGTTTTCTGAATCCTGCATAAATGTATAGAGTGGAGACCAAGCACGGGACATCTGCTTCCTTCAGAGACCTGTTAAGTGTTATTTCAGAGCTAGTGACCCGGAAAGCCTGAAAACAAAACTTTGCTTTTTGTTCTCCTAAGAACCTCTGTCGTCTACTTAAAAAAAACCCACAAATGAACAAAAATAAGGCAGCAAACCTGCCCTCCTTCCCTCCCTTCCCTTAACCAACCCATGCTCCCCAAGCCTCAAAGCTGGCCCTGAAAGTTTAGAGATGGAAAGTGTTGTCCTTGGTGAGAATAACATTGTTCATTCAGTGTCTGTTAGTGACACGTTTTTACCAGCACATCCCTTATGTCAGAACTCACCCAGTAAAGTGTCAGAGCTCTACAGTCTGGAAACCATGCCTCTGCCAAGCTCTGTAAAACCAGAAGAGTTGTGCTTCCTGAAGAAACAAGCAGTAGTATGAATCACTTCTAAATTCTATTAACAGCAAAGTGAGTTACCAGAAAAACACTTGGCAAAAAAAAAATAATAAAAATTGACAGTGGTTTAGAAAAGCAGCCAGAAAATTATCAACAAGTGGATTTCAGCCACTTCAGCCTGTCTGTTCTGTGTGAGGTGTTATTAAGAGTTGTCTGTTTTCCCTGCCCCCTCTTGCCCTGTGCCTTGGCAGCCCCTCACAAGTACTACATTGGGTTCCGGTACGTCCACCCCCTGACGGAAGAGGCGATCGAGGAGATGGAGCGGGACGGCGTCGAGAGAGCCATCGCCTTCACCCAGTACCCCCAGTACAGCTGCTCCACCACCGGTGAGCACAGGCAGCCGGGCTGCCCTGCCTCCCCTTCCTCTGGGCTCCCTTGCCAGCCTGAGGGCTCCTGTAGTTACTGTCACCCCGAATTTTGGGTAGAAACCACTTAACTAAGGATAGCTGCTTGTTGTTGTGAGACAGCGTAAAGTGAGGGCTCAGGAGCACAGCTGAGTCAGCTCTTCATGGAAACCAGAACTGTAATTAAAATATTAAATGTAATTAAAGAATGGTTTAGCAAATTGTTCTTGGCTCGCACGTTGTACGGACGTTGGTATAATTGTTCCCACTTGAGGCCCCTGGTTCAGATTTATGGTTGTTTTTTAAATATGCAGCATTTGAAAATATTTTCAGGCCTCGCTGTGAAGCTGCTGTGATCTGACAGGTTGCTAATGCCTTGGCTGAACTGTGCTGCTCGTTCTGTCTTTCAGGAAGCAGTTTAAATGCCATTTATCGCTACTATAATAACAAGGGGGAGAAGCCAAAGATGAAGTGGAGCGTGATTGACCGCTGGCCCACACATCCCCTTCTGATTCAGGTGTGGATTTGTGTGGGAGCCCTTGAAGTTGGCTCTCAGAGTGAGAGGTGTGGACTGAACAGGTCTGGGGTGGTGTCGAATTGACATTCCCTGGGGTTTTCTTAGATCAGCTGACGTAGGAGAAACGTGGTATCTTTGCATTGCTCTCTTTAAACAACAAAGAACTAAGCAAATGCAGGTGCTTGTTGAGTTTCCTTTTTAGAAGTATTTGCTTCCAGTGAAAACACTGTGTAATTTTAAACAACAGAAACATTCTAGGGAAACAGGTCACCTGGATGAAGTCTTAGCTTCTAACAAACCTTACAAGATTTTGCCTATGGAATGTGCTAAAAGAAGATGAAACTTCTGATTTTGGCTGTGTTTACATATTTTCTGTTTTTTAAACTTGAGAGTAAGGAACGTTTCAATTTGAGGGTGTATTTTAGTTATGGTGATGAAATGTGTTGTGTCTCCTGTGTATGAAGTTAGAGGAGAAGGATGGTTATTTCATGCCAGATGTTTTGGCACGATGCAGGCTCCCTGCATCCAACCATCTCCTGTGACATGAGATGGTTCTTATCCACCCTCTGTTCCTTCAGAGTGTGTTCTTCAATGAAACACCTCAGCAGAGCTTAGTTACCTTCCATGTCTGCAGGGAACCTGCAAAATGGGTTCCATGAGACAGAGTACATGAAACCCCCTTTTTTATTTTTATAAGCTTACCCTTGCATGTTTCCTTGCTGGAGGAGGCTGTGATTGACAGGGCTGGTCTTGGCTTTGTTTGTCTGAGCAGTGCTTCACCGATCATATCCAGAAGGAGCTGAGCCTGTTTCCACCTGACAAAAGGAAAGATGTTGTCATCCTCTTCTCGGCACACTCGCTGCCCATGTCTGTGAGTCAGCAGGTCCCTTCTGTCCTTGTTAGACCAGAGTCACACTGGCTGGGCTGGATGGAGGGGTCTGCAGCTTGCACACCCAGGGGTCGGGCCACAGCTGTGGGAGTGCCAGGCAGATAAAAAGAACTGTGGGAAGGGGAGGCAGTGAGCTGGAGTTGGAAGCCTGAGGTGGAGCTGGAGGTGAGCCATGTGAGCTGTGGCTGCTCTCCTGCTTCCTCAGACCTGCACACTTGGCCACCAGAGAAGATGGGGTGCTGGGTTAGGTCAGACTTGGTGTGGCTGCTGCCATGGCCTCGTGAACCTGCCAAACCCAGGTGGTAATGGGGGGGGAAACTGGTTATTTTCTCACTTCTAGAAAGCAGTAATAATGATTTCCCTGAAAGAATGAAAGTAGAACCTCTGGAAGGTTGCAATAAACAACTTCATCCTCTGTCAGCAAAGAGTAGCTGCAGGGAAATGACTCTTGAATAATACTTCAAAAATGCGGTGCTGTTCCCAAAACGTAACATTTCCTATATCAATGATAGAAGAATTAATATTTTATCATGGAAGGAGGAGTAGATGTTCTGGTAAAGCAGCTTCATCATGGATTGTGCTGGGCAAGAACAGTTTTTCTCCCCATTTTGGATGAGCCAGGCACTTGAGATGGCCCATCCCAGGCACAGCCATGTCACGGGCAGCACGTGCCCCTTCCCCAGGCATTGGTGGGCTTTGCCCCAACCTGCTCACTGGAAGAAAAAGATCTGGTGTTTCTGTGTTGAAGGTTGTGAACCGTGGTGATCCGTATCCTCAAGAAGTGGGAGCTACTGTCCAGAGGGTCATGGAGAAGCTGAACTATTCCAACCCTTACAGGCTTGTGTGGCAGTCCAAGGTATGTGCTCAGGGAAGCTCTAGGGCCCCTTATCACTGCAAAGCTCTTCAGGTGATGGACTTTATGATCTTCAACTTAAGAAGATTATAACTTCAGTGCCTTTTTCCCCCCATCTTCCACAAGTATTTCTTCTAGAATAAAATCCCAAACTTTACTCACACTGTCTTTCCAGATAACTCTTTATCCACAGTGTCTTGCCTTTTTTTGTATATTGCAGAGTTTTAAAGTAGATTTTTGATGTGTCTATTAGAAAATATATGATTTCATAGCATCTAGTTTGACATTTGTCTTTTCTCTGTCAGAAGGAGGAATTGAGCACTTACTGGATTTTTAAGGTGTTGCTTTTTGAGGATCTCTGAGCCATTTTTCCAAAGTCTTTGCTGTGAAATAGGCATTCCTAATAATAATGTGAGCCTAATCCAAGCAGGCTTCTTATTCCTGACAAAGCCTGCTTGCATCACTTTGTGCTTACTGTTACTACTGCAAATGGCAGAGCACATTAGTACAAATAACTGGCTCCATCTGAACCATGATTATGTTTATATGGTCTGTGCTGTCCTGCTTAAGAAAACGTGGGTGTTCTTTTTAAGAATTATTTAATGAGGCTTTTTTCTTTTTAATTTCCCTGCCTCTTTTCCTACAGGTTGGGCCAATGCCTTGGCTTGGTCCACAGACAGATGAGACCATTAAAGGACTGTGCCAAAGAGGAAAGAAGAACATGTTGTTGGTCCCAATAGCATTTACAAGTGACCACATTGAGACACTTTATGAGCTGGATATTGAGTATGCCCAAGTTTTAGCTAACGAGGTGAATGTTCTACAGTTTCTGTAACTGGATGGTGGTGCTCCAAGCTTACTTTTCCTGGTTTGAAATTTGCTTTGTAGTTGCTTCTTGCAATATGATTTGGGGAAAATTTCATTTTTCTGTTAGTTTGAACTGGATTAACTCAAATTAACTTTTAGCAGCACAAAACAGGTGGAAATTTCAATCTTTAGGTTTGACTCTTAAAGCCACTGCTGTCCTTACTGAAAAAGAATCATTGTTTTTTGGCAGTAAAGTGAAATTTTGTGTCAGTTATTTTGCTGTAGTGAAAAACGTGGCATTGCACTTAGTTCTGTCATTTTGGGGCGACTTCTGAATGAGGTTGAAAGGGAGATTTTGAAGCCTAACTGGTGAAGGATAAAGCAGACTTAACTTCTTTTCTCCTTTCTTTTGATTCAGTGTGGAGTTGAAAATATCAGAAGAGCCGAGTCTCTTAATGGAAATCCACTGTTCTCCAAGGTACCATCTTTGTTGCAACAGCTGTGCCAGTTTGCTGGATTTTGGAGGTTTTCTTGTAGTTTTCAAGAATTGTGAGTTTAAGAGCAAAAGTGGAAGCCCCTGTGCTTAATCTGTACACCACAAAGTGTTTTCTTTTACCACAGTTTGTGTTTGTTGTTTTTGTTGGTGGTTTGTTTTGTTTGTTGTTGTTTTTTTTAAAAGAAGTTCCGAAGTTGTTATGACCAAAAGAAAGCAACAATTTTGTATTAATCTTTAGTAAAATGTTTCTCTTTTGATATGTTGCCAGTGCAGGTTTAAAGTGGGATTGTCCCCTGAAGTGAAGGAGGGTGGTGCTTAGAAAGCATCATCTAGTGGGTGCACACTTTGCAGTCTCCCTAGTCTGTGTGCCACGTGCTAAAGCCTTGTTTTATTTTATGCAGATAGGTTTTGCTCCCTGGTGATTTTTTCAATTTAACTGTCTTCCAGGCTCTGGCAGACCTGGTCTGTTCCCATATCCAGTCGAAGGAGACCTGCTCGAGGCAGCTGACGCTGTGCTGCCCGCTCTGCGTCAACCCCGTCTGCAGGGAGAGCAAAGCCTTCTTCACCAACCAGCAGCTGTGATGGGCCCTCCTGGAGCAGGCAGGCAGGTTGTCCTGCTGGAGCAGTGCAGAGGAAGCAAACAGCTTGACCAAGCTCTCTGCTGTCCTATGTTACAGACTGGTAGTGATGTTAACCCCTCACTGATGGAACAGTGAGGAGAACTTGACTTCTTTGTTTCGTGTATTTTTCTTATGTTTTCTTTATTTGAGAAGAGTTTGTAGAAAGTAGGGAGGTAAGGGCATTTATCCTGCAAGATGTGAAAAGATCTTAGTTCATCTGGGTCTGATTGCACTTAGTATGCCCATAAGTATGCACTGAAAAACATAAAACCTTTTCTACAAATTAGCTTCTACTTCCTATGCAGGGATTTGTTCATATGCAATTTTGTCATGAGTCCATTAATTTCAGCTTTCCAGGACAAACAATTACTTGTTTTGCTTATGCTTAAGGTACAGAATAACCAGCACAGTTACAGGTTGCCTCTTCTGAGTGATTTTTCAAATGGCTTTGAAGATCAAATGACTTCTAATGCTTTTTAAATAATGTGTGTATTATTATTATTTTTTTTAGAACTTGAAAATAAGGTTTTATTTAGTTGTTTTACTCCTGCCAGAAACTTCCAGGGAAAGCTTAGCTGGGATAGTAGAATGCACAAGTTTTGTTTACATTTTCTTGAAAAAACACTCTCACTATCTGCAGGAAAGCCTCTGCACTTGAAGAGCATAAAATGAAAGGAATAAACCTGCTTGGGTGATACTGAAGAACATGCTCAGTTGAATGAAACTGAGTTTCAGATCTCCCAGCCACCAGTAGTCTGTACTGAAACATGTTGGTTTATCTTTTAAGCAAAGTGGCTTTTAAAAATTATTATTAAAAAGGGCTTTCTTCATTTGGTTACATAAATTTAGGAAGTCAGGCTTGCTCTTCAGGAGGTTTATAGATCTGCTCTGTGCTCTCTGCTGTGCCACAGTGCTGTGGTTTTTGTGGGATACCTATGGAGTTCCATAGGTACAATTGATCTAGCTTAATTGCTGTTGTTACTTAAAGCTGAGATGATGGGTGGAGGTGATTTCCATTGCAGATGGCTGAGAGCAGGCAGCCTGGATGCTGGCAGCAGTGTGCTCACATGTCTCTGGGTAAAAAAGCCAGACTTGGTCTGGTTCTGGCCCTGATGGTTGGTCAGGAATAACCCAGCACTGGTAACCCAGCTAAACTTCTTATTCTGGCAGGCGTTTGGGTGCACCAGGACTGCTGAGTCCACTCCTAAGGAGGGGTAGTTTTGTAGAGTAGAAAACCTTATTAGGGCAGTATTGCCTCTCCCAGCACCAGGGCTGGTGTCCAGGTCAGCCTGGGGATAAGAGGGGGCTCTTCTGAAGGGCTGCTAGCCACACACCATGCCCAGGCCTGGCACTTGAAGTACTTGGGGGCAGAAGTTCTGCAGCACCTCAGTCTGGCCCTCTTGCATGGGGACCTCTCCTCCTGGGAGGGACAAGAGAGGAGCAAAGCTGTGACCTTGTTCCATGGGACTGAGCCATACCTGGCTGTGTCAGAGCTCTACATGTTTACTTGACTAATTAGCACTAAAATGTTGGCTCTCTGGCAGTGCAGGTGGTTTTCTGTGATGGATGATCCAGCTACTGGTGGTGTTTGAGAAGCAGGTGCCATGCTGCTCACACAGTTTGTGCATCTGTAATTACGAGGCGTGAACAGTTTGAACCTCTGATCTTCCAAGGACAGGGTTGTTTAAGAAGAATTGAGCCCCTGTTGGTGTAACGGGTGTATCTTGCTACATGATGAAAGAATTAACCAGATGCTGGCTGAGCAGCCAGTGGGCCAAGTGCTGCCCTGGGGGTGTCAGTCCTACACGCCTCGCACGGCCTGAGAGCTGGCTGCTGTGTCCCCACTGCCAACCTGCAGCTCCCCAGCCTGGTCCTGGGCAGCCAGACTTCAATTCCCTCGGTGCCAGAGCCTCCTGCATTACTGCTGCCCCTCCTTGGTTCAG